AAAAATATCACCTGCTTTGGTTAGAGTGTGACTAACTATAATACAGAAAATCAGTGATAAGCATAGGACTGAACGTCAACTGACCAACCAAACCTGATGATAACATTAATGGACAGTTATTAAAATTCTATATGTACTTTATAAGGTATATATACCAGCAATGCAGCTTGATTTGTTTATAATGTTGATTTCTTGGTGATTATGGTTCACTATTTGGCGTGGTTTTATCATTCTTCTATATGTTAATCGATTTTCCTGATGAAATTAGATTTTAAATGCTAATTGGGCTTAGAATAGGTTTGTTGCATTTATCAACTGTACGTAATACAGTTCTTGCTTTAAGCTTTTGCTTATAAATCCTTTTTGGTATATTTTATATTTATTTTAAACATAAATAAATAAAAAACTTGAACTCCGAGCGATACTCTTTACAAGAATAACCCACAGCTCATTGGAAGAGGCCACGAGTTGGTCAAGCCGCTTCTTGAACTATAGATGGCGCCACATAAAACTAACTTCCTAAAAGTGTGCAACACTTTTTTGTATTTCTTTTCGAGATTTCTATTTAATTCTTGTTGTTGCTAGGGAACGCAAAATATCGGTTAAACTTTATATTTTAGGTACATTTAAAACTTTTGATGGCGTCAAACTGAATCGAGTCCCATGTTTGATGCAAATGTGATTATGGCTTTACTTATAGATTTATTCTTCATATTTAATATTTTGTTAATTTTGGCTTTGGAAAAATATCGTGTACTCCCTTTTACTATTTTAAAGCTTTTCTTTACATGTATCTTCACCTTGAAGTTTTATTTTTAATCTATCCTAAGTATTTAAGTTAGTATTTAAATTAGTATAACCATAATAAAATTTCTAATAAAATTTCTAGTGAAGTGCTCCATGATAAACATGTTGACAATGTATTGAATAAAATAATATATATTTATATAATATTTGTATTCTTTCACCTCGTAAACGCTCAGCCTTAACTCTACATTTTCGGTATTTCATTACAAGTAAACCTTATTAAAAAATATTAATAATATTTAACTCATGGCAGAACTTTCAGATTGATTCTGCCTTTAAAATTTGTATATATTTTTAAAATGTGAAGATTTGAAATATTGACTTATAAACATGTTACTTTTCTAGACTTCAAGCAGGCATATCTTTATTAAAACTGAATTTTTTTTAATAATGGATGACAATTTGTTTATGTATTATTTACTACGTCGATTAAGAATATATTAAGTTGTTCAACTAATTTATTTAAAACATTGTTGCTTGGCCTTTGGTCAAGAAATTGAAACTTGAAACCATAAATAACAAGCGAAAAGAAAGCAAACGCATTTAAGCTGACATTTTTTTGCTTTTAATTAGGCATAGTTTTTTTTTAGTTAGGCTTAACTCCGACTAACCTGCATGATTTTAAATGCTTATGAATTAATCGAAAGATGCTTATATATGCATATATGGAGTGTGTTTGTGATTTTCACGGCATCTATGAAATCAATTCGTATTCATTCATTAATTTTTTGCTGCCCCCTCTTAAGACAAGCCCAAATTCGACTCGTTTGGGCTTAAAAGTTTGTGGTATATTTTTAAAGACATCGTTTTGATTGGGGTCTTAGGCATTTAGTGTAATTTGTCAATACAAACTAAACACTATAATTAATCGGCACACATTTTTAGGCCAATAATCAAATGTGCATTAGTCATTCAAGCACCTAATCAAATGTCTAACCCGGGACTCTAGCTGGACAAATCGTTATGCGTATGCGTATAATCCACATACACGTATTACCACAGCAGACAAAGGCCAATGTCAAAATTTGAACAGTGTGAAACGTTAGCTAAACAATAAATTAATAAATTAAAAAATTACAACAACAACAAAAAAGAAAAAGAGTTTGTTACGAAAATTCAAATTTATGATGCGTCTGCATTCACTTTTATTTATTTTTTTTATCAACATTTTATTTTAGACTACATTTAGTTTAGATAAGCCCAACTTTTGATTTAGGATTTGCGAAATGTGTGTGTTTTACATTAAATGAATGCAAACCCTTCGGTTTCACATTACGAACGGAAGTTGATCAGAGATTGTTTTTTAATAAAAGATATTTATATACAAATATATATTTTTGCATATTTATTATAAATGGAGCGTACGAAATTCGCTTCGAATTCCCCACCTTGCTTTGGGTCATGCCTCATGGCAAGTGGCGTGAGAAAGTGTGAAACCTGTTTTAATAAGTAGCTCCGGCTAGACATAGCTCGAGATCCGTGAAGGTTGAAGGTTGTTCGCCCCCAGATAATGTGTGTGCTCTCCATAAATTTGAACTGCATTTGGTTCTTGCACAAGCTGACCCATTTAATGCTTGGCTTAGTACTATGGCAACATTTGTAAAGAGTGCAGCGTGGGCTATTTTAGTATTCTCTTTTATAATTGGATTACATTTTAATTTGTGCGCTCAAAACATTTACCCCAACTGCATGGCATCTTCATGTTAACAGTCCAGCCAATTAGCTTAGTTAATGTCAGTCTAGCAACTATTTAAAATTTGGATATGTTTGTTATGACAACTCATTTCCGTTGTCAGAGTTTAGCCCTAAACTAAATTCGTTAATCAAATCGCATGAAAAGCAGAGCTTTCAAATTACAAACTGATTTACCTTCACTTTTGTGTCGCATCATAACTAACTAATGGCTGAGTTTCGATTTTATATACTTATCTACACATATATCTACGGGCATTTGTATCAATTTGGCGCATTTAGAGTAAAAAAAATAATATATTTAAGTATGTTTGTATAAATGTATCGCATAATACTTACACTGAACGCACACAATAAATATCTAGACCTTGGCGCACTCTTGACAGCCCGCAAAATCGGGCGACTGCACGTCTCCAGCTTATTCCTATTTCCATTTCCAAATCCATTTGCATTTGAATTTGCATTTTATAGTTCAGTTGGTTGTCAATAAAGTACAGTCACACAATGCACCATAGCCAAAGCGATTGTAATCGATTGTAACCTCGTCTCTGACAATCGATATTTGCATAACAATCGGCTGAGACATTCAATTTAAGTGCAAAATTTTTAGACAGCCCACCAAATTGCGAAGTTTTTTTTTATTATATTTTTAACACTTTTTCTATTCATATGTTAATTAACATTTTTATTTTTTTGACATAATTAATTTAAATTAATAAAAGTTTGCAAGAATTTGCTTGATTAAGTGTGTGTTAATGGGCTAGTTTTTTATTTTCTATCATTTTCGACACACTTTTTTGTTAGAAATCGAAACAATCGGAGGAAACATATAATACAGTAGAGATTAAAATTAAAAAATTAAAATTACTATATTCAAATATTGATATATATATAATGAAAAATATAAAAAATGTAAATATTATTACAATAATAATTTTTCTGTACTAAGAAGCAAACACGAGTGTGAATAAGACTAAAATTAAGAAAGAATTTGTACTTAATTTCAGATTAAGTTATAATTTTCTTTTGGACTTTTTGTCTAAAATCACAGCAACATAAAATCCAAAATAATTGGTGAATTCAGAATTGAAAATACACAAAATATGAGGATTGTTGCGCATTACTTGTTATTCTATAGCTTATTTACTTTTTTTTCTACTTTTTTCATACCCTATTTTCTCCGTCTTTTCTAAGTTATTCTTTTCTAACTTAATTTTCATTCTTAAATAATATACCTACTTAAGATTATCTAATTTTTATGTATGACATTTTTTTTTTTTTACTTATAATACCATTCTTCTTAGCTGCAGACTCTAATAACGTTTCTGACAATAGGGCATAGCTCGCTGGCGAATAAAATAACTCAATCCCGTTGGTGATGATATTAGAAATATATGTTTTCTGTTAAGACTTTTAGTTTTTAATTTTGCTATTCTAATGTATTAAGTACATCAGTTAACATTCGTTTTTTCGACCATTAACATAAAATAAATAAATTAAAAAAGTTTAAATAGGTGAATTACAAACCTCATGTGCGAATGATAAATTGATTTGTAAGGTTCAAGGAAGATATACATTCTTGAATAAGGCAAACGTGTTGTTTTGCCCACTATACTAATATTTATCCATTTTTTAATATATTTAATTTGGCACACTCTGATTTACTAAAAAATAAAATAAAATTAAAGACGTTTTGTGTAAAATTATTTTTGATAGTAAAGCTGATTTTTTAATATGTAATTAGTTAATTAATAATTGTCTTTAATATTTTAATAATTTAATTAAATTAAGTTTTAATTAAATATAAATATTTTATAACTGTTAAGGAAAATAATTAATTAATTAAATTTAATCAAAGAACTTTCAGTGTTTTAATAAAAGCTTATATATTTTTTAATTGAGAGGAATATTATGCTATTTTTTTAAAATTGTTTAATTTGGCTACAATTTAGACCTAAAAATTGTATCATTATAAACATAAAACAAGCCTTTTCCTATTTTAGTGTGATTGAAAAATTCTTAAAACGCTGAGCTACAAATATCTTAAATATAGTATCATTAGCATGCAATTCCGGCTATTGGACAGTTGCTGTTGGAACTTATCTGAAAAGTTTCTAAAGTTTAACCAGATAATATTAGTTGTGATTGAAAATTTGTATGTGAATCAGTTGCATTAACATAAACGAATGTTTATCTGGGCTAAGTTAAAGGGTAAAGCAGACAAACAACTTTGCTTTGGCCATTGTCAAGTTGATTTGTTGGCCCCAAACAAAGACTGTTGTGAGGCGTTACAAAAAAGCCCACTGCCACTTGCCACCCCAAAACAAAAGTGTTTCAGCGCCCCACACTAGCTGCCTCCCGTTCACACTGCCTCGCTCCATCCCGCTCTGTCTTTATGAATATGCAATGCTGACTGTTGCAACCATATATTTTTTTCATTATTATTATTTTTATTGTTGTTGAGCAGCTGCTGTGGCTGCTGTTTCATTATTTGTTTCCGATTGAAAGAAAAACTTGTTGGCGACCACGCATTAAACATGACGTGCTTCGTGGCTCGTATAAAAGAGGTTGTCAGCGCTTGACCCAACATCACAACCACTTGACCCACAGAGCGAGCGAGAGTCGCAGCGAGTCGCAACTAACTAAGTTCCAGCCTAAGCAACAGCATGAAGATATTTGTGGTGCGTTTTGTGGATTAAGCGGGATATATATTTAATGGATTTCAATAGGATCTAAATGGGATATATACGCTCTCTTTTCCAGACGATTCTCGTAGCCACTTTGGCGCTGGCCCGTGCCGACATCAGCCTCACGCAGCAAGGCTACAACTACAGGCAGCAGCAGCAGCAGCAGCAGCAGCCGACTGTTGTGGCACATTTGCTTAACCAGCAGTTGCAGCAGCAGCAACAGCAGCAGCAGTCACAGTCATCCCATCCAGTGCTGCCACCGCTGTCCGTGCCATTGCCCTATCTGCCGCCCTCTGGCCAGTACCAGCCGCAGCAGCAGCAACAGCAGCAGCGCCCCATTGCTGCCGCATTCCCCATGCCCGCCAATTTTCCAGTCAATTTCCAGACAGCTCCACTGACCCAGACGCGTCGGTCGCGTCCACGTGTTCGCATTCCCAAGAAGCCCATTGTCACCAAGAACTTCTTCATACACACGGCGCCCGAGGAGTCGGACGATGAGATTCAGGATGAGCTGCAGCAGCTGAATCAGCAGCCGCGCAATCACTACAACGTCCTGTTCGTGAAGACGCCCGCTCAGACGAACCGCGCCGCTGCGCTCAATCTGGCCAAGACCCTGAAGCAGGAGAAGACGGTGGTGTATGTGCTGGCCAAGAAGACAACGGCCGCTGATCTGCAGGATGCCATTGCCGATGCGCCACAGCATATTAACAAGCCGGAGGTGTTCTTCATTAAGTATCGCACGCCCGAGGAGGCGCTCAATGCCCAGCGTCAGATTCAGACCCAATACGATGCGTTGGGCGGCAGCTCCACCATTACCGACGAGGGCCTGGCGCCAATTACCTCGGTCGTGGGCTCTCTGGACGCACCCGAGGAGGAGGAAGAGGAGCAGCAGCAACAGCAACAGGCCATCGAGGGCAACGGCAATCTCAACATCAATGCCCCAATTAACAATCAATATCTGCCCTCGAATCAGTTCTAAAGTATCTTCATTGCTCAACCAGTGCGAATCTTAGTTAGTTAGTCACATTCCCCCAGTTGAACTCATAAATGCGAGTTGTTGTTGTTGTCTAAGTAAATAAGTAATTTTATAGATGTGTAAGTCAATTTGAAACCAGTTTGTATTAAAGGTTCACAATTGTATTCAAATAATGCAGTTGCATTTCGTTTTGCTTCGTGCTTTCTTAGGCTCCAGCGTTTTTCACCTAGGTTTCACATTCTAAAGTGATTTTGCATGACTGATTAACTAACTAATTGACTTTTTGTTTACTATTCAATCGGTTTCAGTCATTTTAAAAGACCTTTGGGAAGATTCTTTTTGCGGACAGTCGGCCTCCAAGGCTGTATAGCTAGATACTAGTCACTTTATTTAACCAATATATTGAAATTGTAAATCTCTATATATAAAACTGTTTGTCCTGACTGACTGACTGACTGACTGACTGATTGGTGATCAACGCACAGCCCAAAACGTAAGAGCTAGGAAGCTGAAATTTTCACTTGGTTTCCTTATGTGATGTAGGTGCACGTTAAGACGGGGTTTTAAGTTGTGGGGGTTTTAAGTTGTGTCCGATTTGCTTCAAACTTATTTTCAAAGCTCTACATAAGAACTTAATGTATATGTGTTTCAGCTATTTGGGAAATTCCACCCACAACAGTGGTTAATTAGCGGAAAATGGTTGTATGCAAGTTTTTTGTTTACCATCCGATCGGCCCCAAACTCATTTTCAACGAACTATGTTCAAATTCATTTGAGGGGTGTTTCACACTTTTTGAAAAATCCATCCCTCCTTGGTGCAAATGGGGGTCGAAGATTTGGTGAATGACGTTTTGTGTTCAAATTTATTTCCAAACATCTATAAGAAAAATCATTTGAGACGTGTTTCACATTTGTCGCAAAATCTAAACTCCTTCGGTGGAAAATGCATTTCAAAGATTTTTTTGGTGAATTTTAAGTTTTGTTCGATTTGCATAAAAAGTTGTTTGATTCCCGTCCGATCAGTTTCAAAATCATTTTCAAAGCTTTTTGAAAACATTGTTTTTATAACATACGTGCCACGGGCAAGGCCGGGCTATACCCGCTAGTATAATATAAATAGCTCGAAAAAATTTAGTCCGACCTTGGATAGATAGATCTGATTGGACTCCTGAAAACCTGACCATACCTATAAGCATGTCCGACAGTTTTGAAGCTATCGTCTTGAAACTTTGCATATGCCTGTCTTTCTGCCTAGCCGGTTCGGACCAGCGGAAACGAAGGTTATTGCATGGAAACCGGCTCGACCAAACTCGGGACTTATTAGTTCCACTATGACCATCATATACATGCAAGCTCTTGTATAAAAAACTTCTTGCTTCTCAAGATATCTTGACCAAATTTTGCATATATTAGTTTCTCTATGCTGCTTTTATTTAAGCCAATCAAAATTCGCACTTCTTAGCATATAGCTGTCTAGGAAGTATTGGCCAAAAAAGAGTTTTTTTCTGGCTAAATATTCTGTTTTCCAAGATATTTTCATAAAACTCAGCATTTGCAAGCTTTACAATTTCCACATATGTGCATAGCCGTACATAAAATGAATTCAAGGATATTGAATCTTCGGCTAGTCGAAGATATCCTTACTGTCTCGTTTTTTTAAGATTCGACTTTATTTAAGCGATATATATTGCAATTATAACAATGAACCGGTTTTACACCCAATAGCATTAAATTCAGGGAAATTTAAAAATATGTTTGAAAGTATGCAGCAGTATATCCCTCAATCTGAGGACAATTGGCACAGCCACGGATTTTGCCGATTATGAAATCGTAGAAGTACGCCATTTTGGATGCGACAAGTGGATCGCACTCGTCGCAGTGGTAAAGGCAGACGATACTAATGCTGGATATGCCAACCAGTTTTTTATTATAGACCAATGGACTGCCAGTTTCTTTAATGCGATTGCCACTTAAATTGTTAATTAGCGTGCACAGATGTCCAAAGTCTATTTTTTGATTGTGCGATAATACAGATTTCGAATAACATTCTCTATATGACATCGCTTTCAATTTTACGGTACGTAATTGGGTCCCATTTGCTTTTGGTTTATTTACCCACTGCCAGCCGGTGAGCCTTAAGATGGCGTCTGTTGGCGGCGTCTGCCAATCAAGTTGAATGGGCCGGATATTGGTCGAGTACTCGAACTTCGATCTGCTGCGTATCATACTTATGTCGTTCACTAGCGTTATGGGATCGAAAAGGGCATGAATAATCACATAGTCGATGTGATGGATTTCTGCTTCATGCGCATTCGATAGATCCTGAATGCCCGCAACTATCCGGGCATTTGCCCAATCGAGCTCGTGCACGCATTGCGCGGAGCTAAGTACCCAATGTAAGGCGACGATGACACCGCTGCACAAATGCCCCTGCTCAGTGTGATTTATGGACACCTGATAGGGCGCCGCACCCGGCTCGGCTATGACATATTCATTGCCATGATCTCCACGACCACGTTGACACTTAGCCAAACATGAAAATGGCAGGCTCAACAATAAGAGTGGCCAAATTATTGAGCAGTTTCGAGATTTATTCTGGCGCCTTTGCATGTCAAAGATTAACTAAACTCCAAACAGAAAACAGCCGCATCGAGCCAATTATTCAAGGTGTACTAAATTAACATCCAAGACGAATGGATTTTTGTTTCGTGCTCTTATTGCGACAATTTCATTCAAAGTAGCTATTTGTAGTTATTTGTGGTAATTGGTGGTGATTTTTTCGAGGGGTATTTAAAGTTAGAAACCAGCGCTTGTGGTGGCTGTGAGATGGCTTTGCTCCTGAGTGTGTATACAAAAAACGTTGCAAATTCATTAAAAATTATTTTCTTTCTCTTTATAGCAAGCTCAGAAACTCATCTTCGCCTTTATAAAACCAAATTTAATTGTAAAACACGGAAAAATCTAAATTTCTAATTTCAAGCTTTTGATTGGTTAGTGTAGACTAAGTAGCTTTTTTTATGCCCTTTCAGAGGGTATTTTAATTTTGTTTATCTGAGATTCGGTTACTTAGCCTCATATAAAGTGACTGTCAACAACTTGAGGCCGTATTCCTTGATCAATTGCAATGGGATTTACTTCTCCAAACTGGCTGCTCCTCCCCTGCAGCAGCTGCCTCGGACTCGTGCAGACTGAGATGGGTGCGTATGAAGTCATGATAGTAGGCAATGCTGGCACTGGCATCGGGCTTGCCCTTGGCACAGGGCATGCCCCAATTGACGAGCGCCACTAGTTTGCCATTGTGCACCAGGGGGCCGCCGGAGTCGCCGTGGCATGCGCCCCGCCCCTTATCATTATAAGTACAGACATGGCCAATATCCACGTGGCTGCTATTGCCGTGCGCCTCGCGGCACTGCTCGAAGGGCACATATTCCACCTCTAGACGTTGCAGCTTGGCGGGCACCTCGCCGCCCAGCGACAATGTGCCCCAGCCGGTTAGCAGCAGCCAGTCACCCGGCACCAGCGGCTCATGGCTCAGCTCCACGGGCTGGGTGGCATTGTCGAAGGCAATCGATTCGTTCAGATGCAGCAGCGCAATATCATTCCGGTATTTGCGCGGCTCATAGCCGCAGTGCTCGATGATTCTGTCCGGATAATAGTATTTGGACACGTTCTGCTGCAGATCCTGTGTGCCGGTGAGCACACGGAATGCATTAGGCGCTTTGCGGTGTATGCAGTGCGCCGCGGTCAGTATCCAGTGTTCATCAATGATGGCGCCGCCACAGGAATGTTGGCCACTGTTGGCGCCCTGCAACGATATTTGATAGGGCGCCATGCCCTCGGGTGCATCCTCGCCGCCCACAATGCGCTGGCCGGTGTATTGGGGCGGATAAAGCAACTCCTCCAGCTGCACGGAGCGAGCCACAAGGAGCGACATGGTCAGCAGCAGCAGCAGCAACAGCATATTGTATGTGGACTGGATGTGGCATGCCACGAGGTGTTGCTTTTATGGCTTCTTGGAGTGCCCGCTTGATATGCGCGTCACGTAAGCTCTAGATTTGGCAGGGGTTGTCCGTATATACTACATATAAATAAGGTCTCTGTAGATAAGGTGGGTGTTCACGCTGGGAACACGCGTGTAAATGGAATACATAAGCAGTCCATGATAGATAGCCTAACTTTGATTGGTAACCCTTGAATTTTTCTTGAAATAGGATTATATATAATCTATAGATTGTAGTTTAAAGAGTACGTTGTACAGCAAGGGTTCCGGGTTTGATTGTTTTTTTGATTTTCATTTTTGTAAACAAATCTAAAAACACAAGGGAAATTTAGAGTGTTTCGGTTTACGGTTTGAACCAACGCCTTGGTCCGGTGTGAGACTTTGGTTAGCCACATTTGAAATCTTTCACAACCTTGTCCTTAGGTCTCAAAGGTTTAAGCTATAGATTTTATGCAGAATCAGCTTCTACATATATAAATATTTACTGTACAAATAAAATGATCTTATTTATTTATTTATTTTTAAATAATCCAATTCGGCATTAATTTTAAATTGACTAATTTGTTTTTCTAGGCTTAAGTTTTGGTTCAAAATATATATAAAATTGGAATTTCAAGTTCAAACACTAAAAGTATTCAAACATTATCAAGCATTTATAGGTTAGGTTAAAAGTTTAAGAAAATCTTTAAGAAAAATAAAGATATATATATTTAAAAATGTAAATAAATAATTAAAAATGTAAATAACTATTTAAAAATGTAAACAAATTTCAACTTACATTTACATCTGTAATATCTTGGCCAAATTTCATAATATAAATATCTGCATTTATAGGTTATGTTCAAAGTTCTCGAGCATAAGTTTCACGTAATAATAAAAAATCCCAGGCTATTACTTAAGTTTAAAATTAAACTTTTTTTGGGATTTAACTAGGCTTTGATTTTAATATTTTTAATTCCTTAGATAAATTTACAGGAGGGTGGTATTTTAAGGTTAGGTTGAGAGTTATTGAGCATAAGCAAAACTTCGTCTTAAAATCAATAAAAATATCAACAAATTTAAATAAATTTCATTCGTAATTTTTTCGTATTTGGCTAGGTTAGGCTTTGAAGCTTGTAATACCCTAGCCAAATTTTATAAATATGGTGGCATTTATAGGTTAGGTTGAGAGTTCTTGAGCAGAGCTCATACGCAATAACATTGTAAACTGAGTAATAGTAGTATATTTCAATACATTTCAAAACTTAGTGTTCAGTTTGGATTGCCTGTGTAGAGATTGAAAGTTGAATACCTTATAGGTTAGGTTGAATGTTTCTAAACTGCGCGTAATAATAATTAGTTATTATTAGTTTATAATAATTAGTTTTAGGGACTGATTAGAACTAATTCAGTTTAGTTTTTTATTTTTGATTTGGTTGTTGTTTATTAGTAGCTAGCTCCCAGCTGTGTGTTAGATAATAAGTATAGTATGCTTAGTATGCTTATCAGCCGATAATTACCCAACTGGTGCTCGCTTTTGGTAGCCGACTTAGCTAATAATAGACAATTATTTGAGTCATTTGACAATTAGCCATGCGCTTCGATATAATTTTTATGACTAAGAGTTCAGTTTGGGTAAGGGGAACTTCGGCAAAAAGGATCTTCGACTGATCGTTTTCCAAAACAAGTTAATAAAGCGATAAATAAACGATGGTTGGTTTTACAGGTTCATAATTTGTTCATAAATATTTTATTCTTTTGCGATATATGTATGTATGATAAAATTAACAATATTTGGAATTAAGGTCTAAAGTCTTTAAAGCTGTATAAGTATATATGTATTAACATCTAATTTTTGTTCGGTTTGGCTTTTATTCGCCTTGCTTTTGTTCCTACTGCGCTCTGTGCCTAGCAGCTCCTAACAGGCCTTGCCCTGCTCAGTCATCATCTCGCTGATCCAGTTGAGATAATATACCACCGAGGCATAGACATCTGGATAGCCCAGGGCGCATGCCTCACCCCAATTGACAATGCCGACAAGCGTTTGATTCGCATCGATCAGCGGGCCGCCTGAATCGCCATGGCAGGAGCCTTCGCCCTCCTTGGTGAAGCTGCAGATGTGTCCCTCGCCCACCCAGGTGGCATTGCGCACCTTCGACTTGCAGCTCGAGTGCTCCACATAGGCCAGATCAATCTTTTGCAGCTGGGTAACATATCTGCCCCAGGCTTTGGTGCTGCCCCAGCCGGCTAGTGTGACTTTATCGCCTGCTTTCAAACTATCCACGCTCGCCAATTTGATGGGCTGTGTGCGTTCATTATAGACAATGGGCGTGGCCGTGTGTATAAGCGCAATATCATTGTGATAGATGGGCTGATCATGCTGGCAGTGCTTCTTGGCCGCATCCACCAGATACTCCGCGCCCGGTTTTGTATAATCATTGGTGCCGGTGACAATCTTAAGATACTGTATGGGCCACTCCAGGCAGTGGGCGGCTGTCAGAATCCATTGCTCGGCTATAATGCTGCCTCCACAGACATGTTCGCCAAATGTGCTCATTATGGAGACCTGATAGGGCGCCCAGCCCTCAGGTGCATCGGTGCCACCCACAATACGTGACTCGGGACGCACCACATCCAAATCCAGCTGGCGGCTCAACTGTCGACCTGATCCTAGTTCGCGTGCCTCGCACTGGGCAACGATCAACAGCGCGACGTTAAGTAAAATTAGCAGCTTCATCTTATATAGGGTATATTGTTTGCTTTTCGAATTTCGATTTCGAATTGTGGACATTTAGTGGTACCGTTTTCCTTTTATAGTCGGCTACCTGTTACGGCTTATCTGTTCGCAGCTTTCTTTGAAAACGCGAATCGTTAAGATAAGAGCTGAACTCGATTCTGGGGAAGTTCCGATAGTGACATTACCATAGCCAATACACTGATAAGGCAGAATTCGCGTAAAGCCGAAGAAGTACCGCCACTCGTCAGCGGCCAAGCGAATGACAACAATCAAATCTTAGCTATGACAACAAATTACTCATACGCCCCGTGGCCGCACTTTGATCGCGAACTGCCAGACACGCGATAATGTCGTAATCTGTGGCTAGCGGAACTGCCAATTAAATATTAGACAACAAAAGCCCATAGTAATAGTATGAATTTCTGTTTGGAATAATTCCAAAAAGATAGAGAACTCATTAACAAATCAGTCGTGCACTGTAAAAAAATTTGAAATCAAGGCAAAGTCGGTCGATTCACGGTCCAAGTTCCTGTTCGGTGTGGGAATCTTTTTATTTGACATTCAGTAAGCAAGATTTTGGTTCATGTCTTGGTTTGTTATGTTGAAAAAATACAGCTCGGATGGGTCTAAGTTTGGGCTTTTGTTAGGCAACTAGCTTCGTTGAGAGTTTTGCACTTAGTAAAAAATAAATTGGGATTCCGAATTCGAAACGGTTTAAAAGCAGCCTTTGTTTTAATTTAATCACTTACCATTTTAGGCTTCGTTTGATTTCGAATTTAAATTTAATTTCACAAGTAAACTCAATTTTTTCTCTTTACTTTATGGCAAAAAGTAACACCAAGTGTCAACTAAAAATTTAGCTCAAATGATTATTTTTTGTTTTAATTAGAATTAGATTTCAACATTAAATTGCTTTACACAAAATAATGCTCTTGCTCTCCATATCTATCTCACTCGCCCTCTTTATCTCTCTCTCTCTTTCTCTTTGTTTCTCTCGCTAAAAGACGTTCAGCGGACAAGCGCGGAGTACCCGGTTTGCGTCTAGGGGGATACTTTTTAATCAGCGCAGTCTAGTTGTTAGTTTAATACTCTAATTAATTATTGTTTTTTACTTTAATACCAATTAGAGCTACATATAATTATAAATAATGGTTTAGGAAACGTTTTTTTTTTAGTTTAAGATGTTTTGCAAACATAAATTCAAGTGAACAACTATTGTATATACAGCTAAATAGTTTTAAAAAATTTGAGCCAACATTTGTCACAGTGTATTAAACAAGATGACAAGTCAATTTTGAAACGTATATTATTGAAGGGAGTGTATTTTGGCAATGCATAAATTTTCTTGGGTACAAAGTATACCTTGTAGTTCATGCTGATTACCATCGTCCAGACGTCTGGCAAAGATTAGAGGCCAGAGCGACTACTTGGTTATGCCGCAGCCATTGATTGTGGACTGAATCCAATCGTAGTAGAAGCTGACGCGCGCAAATACATCTGGAAATCCGTAGCCACAGGGCACGCCCCAGTTGCCAATGCCCACCAGGCGACCTTGGCTGTCGACCAGCGGCCCGCCGTGATCGCCATGACAGGCGCCGGCGCCCACCCGTCCCACAGCGCACAGATGTCCAATGTCCAGATCGCTGGTGTGACCATAGGTTGAATTACAGTTGGCCGTTGGCACATAGGTCACCTCCAGCTCTCTTAGATCAAATTCATATTCACCGCTCTCCGATGTGCTGCCCCAACCTGTCATCTTGAGCTTGTCCCCCGCCACCAGATCGTCGAGGGCGGCGATTGTTATGTTCTGCGTGACCTCATCGTAGGCCACCAGGGTTTGCATTTTGATCAGTGCAATATCATTATGATATAGCGGCTGATCGAACTTACAGTGCAGTATTATCTCCTCCACGTAGTACTCCCAGGCGGGACCAGCCCAATCGTTGGTGCTCATGACCACCTTGACATTGCTTTTGCGCATGCCCGCCAGGCAGCTAGCCGCGGTCAGGATGTACTGATCGTGTATAATGGCGCCACCACACATGTGATTGCTGTAAGAAGTTGAAGAGAAGAAGATAAAGTTAAGTTAGGTTGGTTAAAGTGAGGTTAGGTTGGTTAAAGTGAGGTTAGGTTAGGTAAGGTTAAGTTGACACAGGACTTATTAAAACTAATGTGTCCGTTTAAAGTTTAAGCATTGAACACTTGCTATACAATATAATATATAGATATATATTTATATATATATACACATACATATATATGCTTGATTTTTTTATGTTTATACACTAAAATTTTTTTTGGGTCTTTGTTCTCCATTGTTGATTTTCTTCTATTTTTTCCTTAACGGACAACATTTTTATGCTCATTTTTCTTTTTTTCAATCTTGTCTTGTTTTTCAAATATGTTTGTTATGCTTTAAATTTATGTTTATATTTTTCTTGGTTTTATAATATTATATCGTTTTATATAGTTTATATACATAATAATTTTACATTTTTTATCTTTTTGTTATAATTATTTTCATATTAATATTTATTATTATTGTTATTAATATTATTCGTATTTTTATTCTAATTACTATTTATTTATATTATTATTTTTTATACTTAATGTATTTAGTTTAGTTATAAATTTGATTTTAAAACAAACTCTCTCCTCAATATAGATGCATAAACTAGGTTGGGATTCGAGCCCGTAAACTTGAAAAATTGAATCACTAATACCGCGTGTATCTAGTATCTTTTATATTATCGAGAAACTAAATAATGAATTTAATATGTACCCCATGGAATTCTGTATGGACACCTGGTAGGGGGCTGAGCCCAAGGCAGCCAAGCCACCACCAACAATACGCGAATTGGAATTCAAGTTGGACGCGGGCACCGACTGAAAGACGCGACGCTGATGTGAGGCCTGCGAGGAGGACAACGACAGCAGCAGCAGCTGCAGGAAGAGCAACGCTCCGATTTGGTAAGACATGTTGGCAGCTAAGTTAAAAGTGGACTGATCTGAAGGTAACGTCCATGGCAAGCAGCTAAACAACGAATTGGATATTAATGACCCGCCATAAAGTTTGGGGCTAATATCAATCAGAATAAAACCAAAGAAAAATTGCTGGGTACATAAAAATCGCATAACATTTTATTGCGGCAAGACAAGAAATCAAGAGCTGATAATGCGGCCCAAATATGGTCACATGTTTATATACTCTAGGCTAGGCCACAGCCTGTCGTGATGGTGCGTATCCAATCGTTGTAGAAGGCCACACGACTGTAGACATCCGGATAGCCACGGGCGCAGGGCACACCCCAGTTGCCGATGCCCACCAGCTGCTGCCGGGCATTGATAAGCGGTCCGCCGGCATCGCCATGGCAGGCGCCCTTGCCCGCGTCCATTTGGACGCAGACATGACCCAGATCCACATCGTCAGTGTTGTCCAGCACGGTGCGGCACTCGTCGACGGGCAGGTAAGTGCCCTGTGATTGCTGCAAATACTGGGAATTGCTGCCACTTGGTTCCTCTGTGCCCCAGCCCGCAAAGCTCAGAGGCTCGCCCTGCTCCAGTTCATCCAGCTCCGAGAGCTCTACTTTGGCCGTCACATCATTGTACTCAATGGCGCCACTCAAATGCAGCAGCGCAATATCGTTGTGATACAGCGGCTTATCAAAGTTGCAATGCACATGAATCTGATCCACATAGTAACCCGGTGCGGAGGTATTATAGCTCGCCAAGGTTCCGGCTACGGCCACCAAATTGCGGGGACGCAAACCGGACACACAGCTGGCGGCGGTCAAGATCCACAGATCATCGATGATGACGCCACTGCAAAAGGGAAACCCAAATTGATTCTGTATGTTGACAATCCAGGGCCAATCGCCCACCGCCGCCAACTGGCCACCCGCAACGCGGCCCTGTGCTAGCCTCGGATTCGGATGCAGGCGCTCAGCTGCTTCACCCGGCAGCAACTGTTCCCCGCGCAAGCGCAGAGCATCAATGGGGAGCGGCTGCAGTAGCTGGAGCAGCAGCAGGGGCAGCATCAGCTGGCAGAGGCTGAGCTGCATAGCTGATCTGGAAACTGATGCCATTGTTGTAAGTCTTGAATTGAAACTGAAATTCATTCACGATTTGCTCCGGAATTACACATCGGACATGTCTTATCGGCTGTGGTTATGGCCTTTAACTAAGGCGGCACGATAAGTTTCGGCCACTCATTGCGCCTGGTGGAGGCGGGCATGATGTGCTTAATAGTTCGCCACAGCCAGCCCCTATATAGCTGGCTCTATCGTTGGCTAGTTTATAGGCCCTCCAATTGAGCGCATTTACCGTGTGGGTTTTATCCTGCACATTGTAAAGATATGCAACTGATATGGACTTTATTTACATTCATAAAGATTTGACCAGTTGCTTGGTTAAAACAGTGCGCGATAGCCGCTGTCCAAAACTTTCCAGATGCGATAAAAGGTTTAGTACACCGCAGAAAAAGGTAAAGAAAAGTTTACTTAAGTGTTAAAGAGTTATCCAACTACGATCTGGTCCACATTTGTTATTTGTATTATTTTCTATTTTCTATTTATTATTTATTATTTTTTATTACTTATCATTTATTACCTGTTATTTATTATTTTTGTAACGATTTCCTTTCAATCAAGTATAGTTAATATTAAGGTTTTAATCGTTCTCGAAACAAAATCGTTAAAGGCCTGTAATTCCAAATTTTATCGGACAAATAATGTTGTCGGAAAGAGAACAGCTAAACCTAAAGAAGAACCGCGCAATATTATTCAAAAAAACAAAAATATAAAAAATACATTAATACAAGAATTCATAAATAATAAAATAATTTATTATTCCTTCATGTTAATGAAATAAATTAAATTGTTTTCTTTCAAATTGGATAAAAAATATAAGCTAAGACTCGAACTGAACTTTATGCAGCGGCTGTGTTGCCTCAGTCCCACACTACGAATGCGTAATGCATTCTTAATTAACTTCGGTGTTTATTGTCCGATCTTTGTAAAACCATATACCAAAGTGGACGGTTCTACCTTCCAAATTTTATGGGGATGGCGGACGATATCCAAAAAGCGAAATAGTCTTATACTATACGAAAACCTAGTTTATTGCATCCAGCTGTTAATATCATAGAGTTATGCTTGAAAAAACACAGTCTCAAAAAATACCCGCCTAAATTCTATTCCAGTCATTTTCGTATAGCGAACATAGTTTTTCTCTGAGTGTAGCGCATGCATATAAAAGCTTCGACTGGGAACATTCCATTTTTCATTGCTGGTCATTAATTGCAGTCCGCACACGTACTCACCTCCTCATGTCTGCATTGATCTGGTCTTGGCTCTGGTGCCTGTGTCTATTGCTGGGCAGTTCCATTGACGTCACGCGGGCCAAGCGTATCCATTATAAATATCAAACGCACAGCAATCGAATTGTTGGCGGCCAGGAG